ACTGCTTCTCTGCCTTTCCCCTCAATTCTGTACACTACTCAGGATTCTTCTCATCAAAACCCTTTCTGTTTCGCTTCACCATATTTAGCTTCTGATTTTTGCAACCACAAACCCTGATTAGTACAGACCGCATATAAAATAAAACAAAGTGGATATAAGAGAAATTGAGAAGCAGAAAGAGAGGTTTCTGGTGACACATTTTGATCTCTTGGTTCCAGTTTTACCCAAAGCATTCCCTGTAAATAAGCCAACAAATACCACTTAAATACCTGAAGTACCCTGAATTAGGATTCTTTCATATGATACAGAAATAAACACAAATTACACATCCTCCTCTTTCTAGTCTCTTTAAAGAATTAGCAGATGAGGAATTATTAATGACTAGCCTTATTCATCTAATAGGAGTGTGGGTCAGAGATATATCAACAAAAATGGGTGGAGTTGAAAGACTGAGTGGACCTGAATGTTTTAACAATCTAACTGGAGAAAACAAAACTCGGCACAGACAAGAAATTAATCTATGGTCACAAAAGAAAAAGATAAGAGAGAGGAAAGAAAGAAGGCAACACCCATCCTTCCTTTGGAGTCAGGCAGGATTCATTGTCTCTGCGGCAAAACCATTAAAGAGTTTGCTACTGTATTATATATATTCCCAAGAATTCTGAGAAAGAGGTAGAAAGAGCAGGAAAGAGAAGAGAAAATATGCCACCCTGAAAGTTGTACACACACATGCATACTTACACATACACGACACAACCACACAAAAACACACCCCAGTGGAGATGCTCCACTTTTCATTTCTCTAATATTCCTAGATGATGGACCCATGTGTGAACCATTCAGTGATTTGCCACTGTTTTGTATGCTCTACAACATCTTGGCTTTTCTTGAACAGATAATCTCCTTTTACTTGGCATTCACTGCTTTTTGATTAAGCACTAAAGGGTAGCCTTACCCTATCCTTACGAATGAGCTTGTGGGAAGATATTCTTTCCTACTCTCAGCCTGATATGGCCCTTTCTTTTCTCATTCAGGAAATTGGTCTTTCTCTGTCAGGGATTGATTCTCAACAGCACTAAAGAGCTTTAATGCCAGACTGAATGGGTGGTCTACATGGAATGATAGCTCACTTCTGAATTTCTAGGCAAGTCAACACTGGCTTAGGGCTGATTCTACTACATAAGGATAACTAGAATTTGTGTTGCGCAGGAGTAGCCTGTAGATTTTCCTTTCTTCATTACAATAGTCTGTTAAGTCAGCATCAAGATTTTATGAAAACCAGTTTTTGCAGAGCACCTATTCTATGTCCAGCCTTGGAGCAGAAGGCAAGACTTAAAAAGAAATAGGCCGGGTGTGGTGGCTCACACCTGTAATCCCAGCACTTTGGGAGGCCGAGGCAGGTGGATCACCTGAGGTCAGGAGTTCATGACCAGCCTTGCCAACATGGTGAAACCCCATCTCTACTAAAAATACAAAAAGTAGCCGGGTGTGGTGGCAGGCATCTATAATCCCAGCTACTTGGGAGGCTGAGGCAGGAGAATCACTTGAACCCAGAAGGCAGAGGTTGCACTGAGCCAAGACCATGCCACTGCACTCTAGCCTGGGTGACAGAGTCAGAGTCCATCTCAAAAAAGAAAAAAAAGAGTGTTATGGGAGATTCAATAAAGCACACAATAGGTCTTAGCCCAGATTTCAATACCTGCAAGAATCTACTCGAAGAAGGTGTGGTCTGTTACAAGTCTTGAAAAATAAGCAAGTTAGTGGTGTAGAGAGGTAGTCTGAATCTGAAAAAGAGCATTTACAAAGGTACAGAGGCCAAAGAGAGTTGTAACCCTGTGGAAGGCAGTTCAACATGATTGTGGCATGAAGGAGGAATGGAGAAGGATGGGGTAGGAGAAATTGGCAGAACCCTTATATCTTGAAGGGCCTTGCATGCCATTCCAAGGTATATGGATTTTACCCTCAAAGCCCTTTGAAGGTTTGGGAGTAACATGGCCAAGTTTTATCTAAAGAAAGGTCATGTAGCTTGCAGTATGGGTAATGGATGAACTGATGAGGGGTAAAGCAGTGGGCAGAGCAATTCATTAGGAGATGGGAGATGACGGTGACTTGAACTAAGGAAGTGACAGCAGATAGGGAAAAGTGAAAAAATTCTAGAGGATTAAGTAGGAACAACTGACAAAAATTGATTAATAACTTGATATGGATGATGGGAGAAGGGTCTATGTTTCTGTTTTGGGCAAATGCTTGCATGGTGGTGAGAATGTAGGAGATAGAGGTGGTTGAGAGAAGGAATGAGAAAGTGGAGAGCTCAGTCTGAGATATAAATTAGAGGAATCTCTGGACCATTCACATGAAAATGCCAGGAGGTCGGTAGGTCTTGAGCTGGAGAGACACCATCAGGGAGAGAACAAAGAGTTGGGAGTCATAGGCATACATTTGGTAACTGAAGCTACAGGAATGGACCAGGCTACTTGAGGTGAGGTTTTCCAATGAAAAGAAAGCCAAATCTAGATCCCAGGGTAACACCACTTTTAAGAAACATGCAGTGAGAAATGAGTAAGCCAAAAGGAAGACAGCAAGGTAAGAAGAAAATTACCATGGAGTGCCTGCTTGGGCAACAAGAGCAAAACTCCATCTCAAAAAAAAAAAAAAAAAAAAAAAGACTTAAAAAGAAACCAAAAAGAATCACATTTCCCCACTCTTGTCCTTAGACAAAGGATATTTAAATTTCTGTATTTTCTAGTGTCTTCCTAGTTGGGGGAAGGAAACAAACAGCTGATTCCATAGCTGATGACTGAGCCCTTTTCAAGGACCCTGACTTGGGAAGCAGCTGTTTCATTCTCTGGGAAATTTACCAGCACCAACGGGAGGTGGGAGGTGGAGAACAAGTGATACTTGCTTTTCCCAGCACAGGAGGAGACCTTCCAACCCCAGGGACTTAAATCACTCACATTTCTCCTTAGCAAATCAATGAGTAGTTTAGAACTGATTCTTATTCTATATGTTTTCTCTTCTTTTCAAGTCTTCACATGGCCTAGAGGAGGAGAAATACCTCCACAAAACCAAATATACAAACCACAGAAATGCTGGGGTTTAGTTTTTGAATAATATATTCCAAAAAAGACTTTACCTCTTACAAAACTGTTGTTTTTCAGAGACACCCAAGTGATATCAATTACAAGCTTTTGAAATTGTCCTGGGTAAGACTTTCCTGTAGTCGAGATTGGATTGGCTCCCTAGAGCACATTCGATGCTCAGGATGCCAGGAACTGGGTTTCTTTCTAAATGTTAAGCTAGAGTTGGGAATCCCAGGGTGATCAAGACAACTAGGACTTCTCACTCTTCCTACCTGCTCCTGAACAAAGACACTAATTTTGGATATTTATCTGAAATACCTCCAGATAATACAATGCTTACAGCCCCTGCCCCAAAATAGCTGGAATTGCCCAGAACACCAGGATGCCAGCTGTGTCAGGAGCCCTATTTCACAGACCCCTGTATGTGTGCTCCAGGCTCAGTCACAGAGCCTGAGGGGTGGGCTTCTTAACAGGTGGGGCCGCTGATCAACCTCCCACAGCCAGGGCAGTCCATTAGTGATGTGGTTAAATAGATAAAGCCTGGATTTAGTATTCAACCATATCCCTCTCCTGGGACTCCTTATCCCATTAGAGAATTCTAGATGCTCAGAGGCTCCTGCTTTTCTGAGCATTGAGGTTCCTTCTCCATCCACCCTATACTCCAAATTAATCCTTCTTCCACAGAGCACATTAATTCCTTTTTAAAACATGCCTGCCTTGATCAGCAATTTTGAGCCAAATATTGACCAATTTAATGCATTATCCTTTTGTGAGAGAATTTCCATTTTAATGAAGGGAATGTTTTACAGAGTAGAATATAAATACTAAGATTAAATCCAGGTTGTTTTAAAGACCAATAGAATTGGGGCCAATAGGGTGGAAATGACAAGAAGATAGAGCCATTCTGAATATGTAAAAGGCCTATCTAGCAATCTGAGATGTTCAAAAAAATGAGAAGCAGTGCTTTGAGAAGTAATAAGACGCCCATCACTCTACAGTGGGTATTTTTGTTTTGGTGAACTTTTGACTGGTTGAATTCTACAATTATGAATCAGAGTATCGAAGTACATACCAGGCAAACTACTAGGATGCCTTTCAGAGATCATTAAAAATGGTGTAGATATTCACCCTGCAAAGGATCTGAAGGAGAGGGAATGGCATGGGAATTTCTAAAATTTATTCTTTTATCAGAAAAGTCTTAGTATCAGGGACTGCCTGGTACTAGATGATACAATAATGAATAACTGAAACACATCCCTGCCCTCAAAGGGCTTACAGTCCAATGAGGGAAAGAGACAGCAACAGGCAACTGCAATATAATTCAAGTAGAGGGTTTTTAGTATGTTGGTGGAACCTAGGCTGGAAACCTACCACAGCTGCAGCCACAACCACAGCCTCGGGGGTCGGGGAGTCAGTCAGGGAAGCTTTCCTTTAGAAGGCAGCGTGAGACTAGCTGGAGGAGTTAGTCTGGGGAAAACAACAGACCCTGAACAAGAGACAGGTTATATATGGTTACTAACAGTTACTATGTTTGTGACTGGAAGGGTTTTTTCCTCATGTCTGGTGGGAAGGAAGGCAGATCTATATTATGGGATAAGAGGCAAACCATGTTAAATAAGAGACATTTATTTGTCTTCTAGAGACTACTTGAAAAATACCAAAGGCCTCAGCTTAATTCCACCACACACTCCAGGTAGAACCTCCACGTGTGTCGATCTACTGGGTAGATCCACGTGTGTTCATCTTCCCAGATGAAGCCAGGGACATGTTCCACTGAGTAGGAAGGACAGAGGATAGAAAAGAAAGAGAAAGAGAGAAGGAAGTTATGGGATAAAGGGTCTCCCAGGCTTCAGCAGAAGCTGAATCCACAAGGACCAAACAGCAACCTAAAGGAGAAAACCTGAAAGAAAAGTGTGGGTATATTCAGGACCACCCACTAGGAGGGCTTTTTTATTTCTGGCGATTTGTTGTCCTTACATGACCACAGGGGGCACAACAGTGTTCTCCTTATCTATTGCTGTGCAACAAATCACCCCAAAACCTAGTGGCTCAGAACAACAGTCACTCCGTTATTATCTCTCATGTTTTGGGGATGGACTGTGCTCAGCCAGGCAGCTCTTGCCCAAGGTCTCTTATGTGGTTGCAGTTAGATGATGGCTAGGGTGAGAGTTGTCTTCACTCACTTGTCTGGCAGTTGATGCTGGCCGTCAGCTGGGACCTCAGCAGGGTCTGTCGGTTGGAACACTACTTGTGGCCTCTTAATGTGATCTGGGTTGCCTCACAGCATGGCGCCTGCATAACGGAAATGAACTTTGTGAGGCCCAGGTGGAAACTGTATCACTTTTTATAACCTATTTGGCAGTCACATAGCATCACTTTCACCGTAGTCACAGGCCCTCCAGATTCAAGAGGGGTGAGAAAATGAACACCTCTGTGTGTGTGTATGTATGTATTTTTACTTGTATACACTTAAGGTGTACAACATGATGCTTTGATACGCATATCCATAGTGAAATGATTACTGCAGTCAAGCAAGTTAGCATATCCATCATCTCCCATAGTTACTCTGAATCTGTATATTGCTTTGCGTAGAATGCACATTTTGACAATATTAATTCTTCCAATACATGAACTTAGATTTGTCCATTTATTTGTGTCATCTTCAATTCTTTCATCAATGTTTATAGTTTTCAGTGTACAGATCTTTCCCTTCTTCATTAAATTTATTCATAAGTATTTTATTCTTTTTGATTTTACTGTAAGTGAGATAGTCTCCTTGATCGCTTTTTCAGAGAGGTCGTTATTAGTGTAAAGAAATGAAACTGATTTTTGTATGTTGATTTTGTATCCTGCAACTTTACTGGACTCATTGATTAGTTTTAAAAGTATTTTTATTTAGTTGTTTTTCTTTTTTAAGTTCTGGGATACATGTGCAGAATGTGCAGGTTTGTTATATAAGTATACATGTGCCATGCTGGTTTGCTGCACCTATCAACCCATCATCTAGGTTTTAAGCCCCACGTGCATTAGGTATTTATCTTAATGCTCTCCCTCCCCTTGTCCCCCACTCCCCAACAGGCCCTGGTGTGTGATGTTCCCCTCCCTGTGTCCATGTGTTCTCACTGTCCATCTCCCATTTGTGAGTGAGAACATGCGGTGTTTGGTTTTCTGTTCCTGTGTTAGTTTGCTGAGAATGATGGTTTCCAGCTTCATCTATGTCCCTGCAAAGGACATGAACTCATTCTTTTTTATGGCTGCATAGTTTTTTATAACAGGGAAAAAAAGATGGACTACACATTTTTATGGAAGAAGTATCAATACCTTGTAGGAAGTGCATGCAGGATGAAATGAATTGTACTAATGTCTTTGGAAAATATAATCTGCCACACAGAGGGATTATATTTAGATTGAAAGTACATTATAAGGTTGTAACGGAATTGTAGCACAGACCCCGGTATTAACTGCTACCTCCCCATTGGTAGGGCAGGTGTACCTGGGATAGAATGTTTTTCTTGACTCTGTCCCTCTTTTTTGTCAATCAGGGGGTTTCCATCTTCTCTCTTCCTATTGCTGTCTTTTGATTCTACCTTAGTCTATGGTAGAGTCACTCCTGGAGTAGTGTGAGGAGCACTGTATCTTTAGATAGAAAGACTTGGGTTTGCTTCCTGCAAGGACCATTTTCCAGCTGTGTAGCTTTGAGCAATCTACTAAACTCCTGTGCTTCAGTTTCTTCCTTTGAGAAGTTGGGGAAATAACAGTACCTCCCTGATAGGGCCGTTGTGCATAGTAAATAAGACATAATGCAAGGAGAACAGCTGGAACATTGTAAGCACCTCATAAATATTCCTTTTATTAGCTGACACATTCGCTGATGGATACTCTTAATGTTACTTGAAATGTTTACATTTCAGTCTCTTACAGCAATGGTCTCCAAATTTTTAAATCAGGCACTTTGGTCAGAAAAATGTTTCATCCATGCACCTCCAATATGTGGATATTTGGACATATGTAATTTTTATGCATATGTCATAGTACTGTCTAACTCGCATAACATACTCCCAAGTAGCTATTAAATAGGATTAGTTAAAATACATAGAAATTACCATATTGTATTCCATGCCATGGTAAATCTGGCATTCCCCTCCACTTTGATGACCATGCCTTAAAAACAGATCTTCTAAAGTTTTAGAGGAGTATCTACAACCATATTCCTGTATGTGTAAGTAGCTGGAGATAGATATATGGAGAATAAAAATGAGAGAGAAAGAGAAAGAGACAGACAGAGAGAGCCAGAGGGAGGGAAGGGAGAGGAAGGAAGAGAAGGAAGGAGGGAGACAAAGAGGAGAAGGAGAAAACTTTTGGTTTTTGCTTTATATGGTCCTGTACTGCTTACACGTTTTAGAATAATAAGCATGTACTGTTCTTAACATTTTTTAAAAATGTACAATGCAAGAGTTTAGTTTGACCTCCACAATCCAGACTTCAGTCATTGCATGTCTAAATACTCTATTTCTTTACCATTGAAATTGTTCCAAATATATATTGTTCCAATGTATATGCCATGTGGATGTCTTGGGAAAGGTAATTCTTCCCTGAATTTCACTTGGACTAAGAGGGCAACTGCTCTCTGTAACATCCTACCCTTCCAGATACATTGGAGGTAGGAATTTATAGGCCTCTGTGGTTTGAGGAAGGAAAAAGAATTTATTCTGCACAGAGTTTTCCCTGGAAGACTCTCCTGTTTACTGAAATGCTCTTTCCTCTACAGTTGTGTCTGTCTCTCGCTGGAAAATTCTCCACTGTGAAGGAAACTCCTTTCCCTGAGCATGTACTTGGCCGAGCTGGTGGGTTTTGGTTTTGTTGGGTTGGTCTGTCCTTTTTTTATGCACATGGAGCATGAGTGACAAAAACATGCATATCAGCTCCTTTACTTCCGGACCTACTTTTTGGACCTATATCTGCACTGTAGTTATTGGAAAACATGGTGTCATGTGTCTGAGTAACCTTACTGGCAAGATGAAAAAGCGTTCATATAACCTACATGCACTGCCAGACTAGCATTTTATCCTGAATGTGATGACCACCACTATGTTTATTTATAAAGTCCTGGTCAAATGATGAAAAAATTACGGTTTCTTCATGGCTACATCTTCTGAGTTGGTGCTATCATCACTGTGATGGAATGAAATCCCTTTTAGTTCATGGTAGTGAAGGAATAAATCCATGTGATTCTTCCCTCATTAAAACAGATAAAATAACTTACATCCCATATTTCTGTATGTATGCGCTACCTCTTTACTTTTATTAGTTGTTGATGTACACATTCTATAGTGGAACTTACTATTAATAGATAGGACTCGCTTTAGGCTTTGCTGCTCAAAAATACTTCTCCATAACTTCTACTTATAGATTAATTTGAGTTAGGCTGGCTATTTTAAAATACAAATGCCATGCTGGGTGGTAGTCCCATTTACCTTTTAGTAGAAATTATTTAGTTAAATAGTATGCAGGTTATAGTCTGTCGGCTCCATAGATCTATTATTCACCCTTTCCCATCTGCTTCATGCCCTAGGATGCTGACTTTCTTTGGCTACATCAACTCTGCTCCTTTGCCTTCTGCCTTGTGCAGGTTTGGCCAATAGGCAGCACTGGAAGGAGATCAAAGGGTAGAAGGAGAGATTCAGGTGTCTGTTCCCCTGGTCACTTCCCTGCTGGGCTATGGCTTGGCACTGGCTGTGATCCTTTACCTAAGGCCACAGCATCACCTGGTCCTGCTAACTGCTTCCCCCAATCCCTGACCCTTCCTGCTGTCATTGTCTTTCGGGTGCTTTATTATCCCTTGTGGATTTCCTTTCCCTTGCCCACGTTTTTGCAACTGTCTCTTCACCAAATGTTCTCCAAGCATTCCTTTTGAGTGTGCCATTTCTTTCCTGATAGAACCCAGACTAATAGAATAGCCTTTAGAAATGGCCTCAGGAAACAGACCCTTAAAATGGTATTGGCATGGAATTGTGTGGTAGGCAGAATAATGGCCTTCAAAAGATGCCCATGTCCTAATCCCTGGAGCCTGTGAATAGAGTATGTCACATGACAGAGGGGAATTAAGTTTGCAGATAGCATTAAGGTTGCTAATCAACTGACCTAAATATAGAGATTATCTTTGTTAACCAGGTTTTGATTACCCAATGCAATCAAAAGGGTCCTTAAAAGTGGAAGAAGGAGGCAGGAGACTCAGTGTCAGAGTGACATGATGTGGGAAAGACTGAGCAGCCATTACTGACTTTGAAGATGGAAGGCCATGAGCCACAGAATGTAGGCAACCTCTAAAGATGGGAAAGTCAACAAAACAGATAGTCCCCTAGGGTCTCTAGAAAGAATGCAGTCTTTTTGACACCTTGATTTTAGCCCAATGGGACCTGTATCCAGACTTTTGACCTGCGCAACTGAAGGATAATAAATGTGAGTTGTTTTAATCCAATAAATTTGTAGTAATTTATTACAGCAGCAATAGAAAACTAATACAAGTTGCTAACATATTTGATGAGAACAAGGAGGTTTTTTGACATAAGGAAATGGGATATGGATAATCCATGCTATGTTACTCAAATCATTCCTAGTAGCAGAGATTGGGATGCAATGTAAGTAGAGGGCAAGGTGTTGAAAGATCAATTAGCTAGGGCTCTTAGTTGCTACAGTGACAATGGCAATTATCAAGATTGTGGTGTGACTGGTGTTTCTGTGAGTCCTAGATAATATACACAGATGAAAGGAAAAATTAAAAACTTTGTAAGTCCATTCAGGGCACAAGTATATTAGAAAACCTTAATGGCAGCTTTAAAAGAGCTGCTTACCAACCACCTTGAAAAAGACATAAGTGAGGACCAGTCCAGCATCTGAGAACTGCATCAATGTCTGTTTTGTTATGGAGCAGAGAAGAGTGGAAACTTGAGACATGAGATGGGAACATTTAGGGGAATTCAGACAAGACTAAGAACTTTGAACCCCCAAATTGTCTCAAAACTTTTCTGCACATAAAGAACCCCATCCAGCAGAGGGACTGGGAGAGCATGGGATGGAGGTGACCTGTGTTGGGGACACATGTTTTTCACTTAGATAAGAGGATGCTGTGGTGAAGTGTGTCTCCAGGTTGATTATGTCCCTTTCTGCAGCCTGCTTTTGTCCTTAGACATTGATCTGTATGGACTGCATCAGCCGGACTTGTCTTTAGCTTATGGTTAGCTTTGGCCAATTCAAGGCACTGGCAGGAAAATAGAGGGTGAACTGAGAGGGCACAAACAGGGTATTCATTCGCCTGACTCCCACCTTGCTGGATCACTGTTGGCTGTGTCTGCCATGGTCACTAATTTAGAAACACAGGTAGAGATGCCAGCCTTGTTGGGCAACCCATGTCCACAGCCTGCTGTTCTTTCTAGCCCTGGGGTCCCTCACCCATCCCTTGTTCATCTCCTTCACCCTCCCCTCGCTTTTCTAATTAGCCTTGCATTAAACTCTCCTCGAACACTTCTTTCTTTCTTGCCAGAACCCTGACTGATATCATCATCATCACAGCTGACATTTATTGAGCACTTATGTGCCAGACACATGCCCAAACACCATCCATAAATTAGCTCATTTTATCCTCACCATAACTCTGTGAGATACATGACTATTTTTACTCCATTTTACAGATCAAAAAATTTAAAACTTAAAAGTTGGCACACAGCTTACCCAAACTTATCCAGCCAATAAGTGCCAGAGGCAGGAATTGAACCCATCTATAGAGTTAGAGGAAGCGTAGTAGAGTCAGTATAAAAGATGGGCTTTGTAGTCCAGAGGGACTCAGGTACAAATATCCGATGTTGACATGAGCCAAGACACTTAATTCCTGAGCTTAGTTTCTTGATTTCTAAGATGGGAGCCACATTCCCTCTGTCAGTTAAGAGTTCTTTGTTTGTAAGTAACAGAAGCAATACTGCCCAATCAAAATTACAGGAATCCAGAGAGTTCCAAAGGATCCAGGTGCAGGCACTAATGAAAACATTCTTTGAGGTCTCTATGTTGTCAATTCCACAATTTTCAATTCATTACTGACTGTGTTCATGATTAGAATTTCCTGGACAGAGTGCCTACTTGACCTCGCTCACTTGGGTTATTTGTCCACACCTTTTATCAGGTAGGATAGGGCATCAAGTCTGTATTCAGTGATGGTGGGTGAGTCTCCCTAGGAGAACTAGTGTGATTTTAGCTGGAAAAGGGGTAAGCAATGCTGTGAATGCAACAAGCAAATAAATACACAGTATAAATTAATACACATGCTTCCTGCAAAAAGTGAGGGAGATAATCCAGGCAAAGTGCTTGGCACAGGGTTCAGAATTTCTCTTCTCTCCTGCCAGACTTAAGAGAATAGGATTTTGATTGTAATGGGAGGAACAGTGGTAGAAGGCATTTATGCGTCACTAGTTGTACTTCTGACAGTTTCTCACGGAACTGTTATGTCTACTCTTCTCTTGTTTTGCCCAATTAGAGCTTCCAATCTTCACCCTGTAATGCCATGCTTATATGGACTTCTCCCTATTGTCTGTAGGCTTCTTCCAAAAGCGTGTCAGTGTACGGCCTCTCCCTCATCTGGTCCATCTCTTTTTTCTTCAAGATTGTTTTGCTCCCCAACATTTTATTTTGAAAATTTTTGAACACAGAAAAAATTTTAAAATTAGACAGTGAACACCCATAAATATACCATCTAGATTTTCACATTCATATTTTAGTTTATTTGCTTTTTTGCATTTCCATCCATCTGTCTAGCCAGCTATGTATGCACCTAAGCGCCTGTTTGACAATATTGTTTTAATGGGTTTACAAAGATTTTTTTTTTACAATGAACTCAAATCTCTTATATCAATGTTAGCAAAGAACCAACTGAAAGGAGTCTCAACAACTCTTAGGGGCTGGACAAGTTTCCTTAGTTAATGCTGTGAATAGAAGTTTTAAAAGCATTTATTTCTCACAAAGTAACCATCTGTTCTTTATGATGGCTCCTATCATTTCTAACTATGTTTCTGAAAGAAATTTTTCTGAGAGCTGCTTTGGAATGACGGGGAAGCGTTCTTAGGAAAAACTCACTGGCTGATGTGACCCAAAACCAGAGGAGTATCTGGATGGAGCATATCCTAGATGATGATGATGATGATAATAATAATAATAATAGATTTTGAAAAAAATGCCCAATATATATTCCAAAATTACCAGAGATTTTTACATCTGATCATCAAATCCCGGGATCCTAAGGGGGGAAACTTCCAATCTTGAGAATCAGATAAGCATCTCAACTCCTGGAAGCTATTTGAATACTAAGATAATTTTCACATCCCAAGTTGCATTAGATTCTCATGGGACTAGGTTTTACTATGAGATTGGTGGTTCTGGTTTGAGCTGCTAAATTCAAGATTTGGGCATTGGAGTTCTTGGTGATTTGCTTACTTGTTGACATAAAGTTTTGAGCCAGTGCTGGTCAAATTGCAAGTGTAAAGGGGATAAAGTGAAAGAAACATACCATATCCATTTTGGAAGCATAAACACAAGTCAATTTACATTTGCCTATACAATATGGAGCATCTACTGTTGGTGCCATCTGTCTGTGTTGTGGGATGTGAATATGGGATTTCATCACATGCATTTTATCTTGATGGATGAGTAGGAATGGAAGGGTGTGTTTGGGGAGTACCATAGAGAAGGTGGAATTAACAGATGGCTGGGGAAAGCTTCCAAAAAAAAAGAGATTGAGGAATAATCCTACCAGTAGGGGAGGGAAGGTCTAATCTGTACTAATCTGTACTGCAAAGAGGACTGGAAGGCAAACAGAATCCCAGGACATGTCAAAGAAAAGAGATATGGTTTGGCTGTGTCCCCCCCAAATCTCATCTTTAACTGTAGCTCCCAAAATTCCCACATGTCATGTCATGTCATGGTGGGAGGTAATTGCATCATGGGGGTGGGTCTTTCCCACGCTAGTCTCATGATAGTGAATAAATGTCACAAGATCTGATGATTTTATAAAGGAGAGTTCCCCTGCACATGCTGTCTTGCCCACCGCCATGTAAGACATGACTTCACTTCTCTTTTACCTTCTGCCATGATTGTGAGGCTTCCCCAATCATGTGGAACTGTGAGTCCATTAAACCTCTTTCCTTTATAAATTACCCAGTCTCACGTATGTCTTTCTTAGCCGCATGAGAACAGACTAATACAGGAAGTAAAGATGAAAAGTAGGTAACTTATCAGAGATAAGTGTGGAAATTCCTAAGTAAATGAATACAGACCAAACAGAGAAGAGGCATTTGTGAATTCAGCTGGAAAATTCTCAAGTAACCCAAGGATGATGTGATAAGGCCTGGCCTGGGGCCTGGGATATGATAAAATAGGGATGTGTACTAGAGATGTTTGGTCTGTTGGTTGCCTACCTAGATGTTTTTAACGCCTCTCCCCATCTCTTCCAAGCAGTATCCCACTTTATTGTTCAAGTGTTCACCTTTCCCTCATGCTTCATATTATATACCTGGGAAGAAGCTGTTCTCACCTAAAGCTCTAGAGATGGACTCTCATTTGCTTCAGCTGATCAACACATCCACTGCCTAGCCATGGTCATTGATTTAGAGTTGGCCATGTGACCTTTTCTGAAATGGTTGACAAGAAAAATCTCTCTCCTGGATGGTTTGCTCTGTGGGTGTAAAGCTTGAAACAGTTCAGCCACATGGACACGATGGGGATGACAGTCTTAGGATGAAAGGCAGAAAAATCCTCTCATTGAGGACAACATTGAGCCACTGGATCGACCTTCTCTGAAGTTCAAACAACTCCTGAACTTACCAAATCTGACCTCATCACTAAGTAGCTAGAAACTGATAACAATGTTGTTGTAGCCCAGAAGATATTACTAGCAGTTAACAGTGAAATTTTACTCTCTTATTAGAAAATAATCTCTGACCACATTATTTGGCACATACGAAATGCTCAACTAAAATATCACATGCCTATAATCATAGCACTTTGGGAGGCTGAGGCGGGTAGATCATCTAAGGTCAGGAGTTCAAGACCAGCCTGGCCAACATGGAGAACACCTGTCTGTACTAAAAATGCAAAAATTAGCCAGGCTTGGTGGCGCATGCCTGTAATCCCAGCTACTCTGGAGGCTGAGGCAGGAGAATCACTTGAACACAGGAGGTAGAGGTTGCAGGGAGCCAAGATAGCACCACTGCACTCCAGTCTGGGTGACAGAGCAAGATTCTGTCTCAAATAATAATAATAATAAAATTTTTAAAATGGAGGAAAAAGGCCAGGTGCAGTGGCTCATGCCTGTAATCCCAGCACTTTGGGAGGCCGAGGCGGGCAGATCATGAGGTCAGGAGATTGAGACCATTCTGGCTAACATGGTGAAACCCTGTCTCTACTAAATATACAAAAAATTAGCCGAGCGTGGTGGTAGGCGCCTGTAGTCCCAGCTACTTGGGAGGCTGAGGCAGAAGAATGGTGTGAACCCAGGAGGCAGAGCTTTCAGTGAGCTGAGATTGCGCCACCACACTCCAGCCTGGACGACAAAAAAAAAAAAAAAAAAAAAAGGAGGAAAAAATCTCATTCCACTCAAGATGTGTTATTGCTAAAAGGAAACCAAAGCTAGATGCAAAAGTAAAATATCACATTTGTATTAGCAGAGTGGTAATGGTGATGGTGGGGAGGGAGGGCAGGGGGTGGCAATTATGAGAATTAAGATGGAGTCGAAGGAAAAGCTTATTTGGAGTATGTTTCCTCCCAATCACTCTCTTGGCCAGAGATAAAACACCTGAGAAGATAGGAACAGTTATCAGTAAATGGGTTTTCTCACATTTTCTCATCTACTCTTTCAAATTCTATTTCTGACAGCCAGAAGCACACAAGAGGGGTAAGCTAGTATACTTATCTTCCTATTTTTTTTTTTTTTTTTTTTTTTAGGACAGAGGGAACTACCTAATAGAAAAAAAAAATTAGATAGGGTCATATTAGAGCTCAGGTCTGATATTGACTCATCTAAGAAACCACTGTGGCCTCAAAGAGCCTCGTACTATTGGTAACTGCCTTCCCTTCTCCAAAATGGGCTCAATAAACTAATACAGTCTTGCTGAGATGTTTGTAAAATCTGAAAATACAAATTATTTGAGAAATAGTCAGGTACTGGTTGGAGAAAGAGAGAAAAAATAATAACCTAGAAGGAATAAAAACTGCAGTTTCCTTGGTCTCATTTCTAGGACTTGTGTACAAGGCTAATATACAAGTTGTCAGTGACGCCCAGGAGCCCATTGCTTAATGATCTTAAACAAATTTTAGAAATCAAACAAGGCATCATTCTGGCTAACAAAGGAGGCCATAAAATGAATACACCAATTTTCGAGCTACCATTGTGTATCAGGAAGATTTTTTTTTTCTTTTTTTTTTTTTTTGTGAGCAACATGGCTGTTTATTTCACCTGGGTGCAGGTGGGCTGAGTCCGAAAAGAGAGTCAGTGAAGGGAGATAAGGGTGGGGCCGTTTTATAGGATTTGGGTAGATAAAGGAAAACTACAGTCAAAGGGGGGTTGTTCTCTGGCGGGCAGGAGTGGGGGTTACAAGGTGCTCAGTGGGGGAGCTTTTTGAGCCTGGAAAAGGAATTTCACAAGATAATATCATCGCTTAAGGCAAGGAACAGCCATTTTCACTTCTTTTGTGGTGGAATGTCATCAGTTAAGGCGGGGCAGGGCATTTGCACTTCTTTTGTGATTTTTCAATTACTTCAGGCCATCTGGGCATATACGTACAAGTCACAGGGGATGTGATGGCTTGTCTTGGGCTCGGGCTCGGGCTCAGAGGTCTGACATTCCTGCCCTCCAGTGTAAGAGTTACCCAAAGCGTGTGTGATG